GAATTGAATGAATGATTAATTTCACAATTATATGGCTAATGATTAATTAAAATAAAATATGGTTCCATTGGTTTTTGGTATTTTTTTTTTGTTCCTTTTTTGAATATAATTTAATAAATCGGCTAATTGCACAAATAGCAATAATGACTGCAATAGATGATGATTGCTTTAAAAATTGAATGGTCATGATGGCTAATTAGGTATAATAATTAGCTAGCAATAAGCAATAATGATCATGTGATGCTTTTAATAATCACACGACAACATAATACTAATAGTGACAACGGTGATAATAATAATAATAATAATTAATAATAATAACGATTATGCTTTTATCTGCTCAACAAAATTGTCAAAATTATCAGAGATGTTTATATTGATAAGCATATCAACTACTACTGTTCCTCATAGAATTAGAATTAGGAAATATTTCGAGTCGAATTATTTGTTATATTTTGAATTTAAAGTGAATTTAAAATTTAAACTTATTTACCTGCAATAATTAGTCATATCATTAATATCTAATTTGTTAAAATAAAAGAAAAAATAGCAAGCGAAAGTGGTAAGAAGGAAAGAAACAGTATAGGATCAAGCTAGAAATATCCCAAAAATTCATATAAAAGGAAAAAGTTGCACATTACCTTCGCATTAGTGATAAGATGAGAGTGAAAATGGAAGCGCAATTGACACACTTAAAATTGTATCTTTCAATCCTTTAGTGCTTTCCGCAAATTTTTCATGTTTTATAAAGTTATTTTCGATCTGATTAATTTGGTACATCGTGGTGTGATGGACCGGATTCGAGAAATGAATTAAATGAACACAGGTTCGATTCCTATTTGGGGGAAGCGATGTTAGCTGAATGAAGAGTAGAAGTTATCCCTGTCATAGCTATGCTCAGATGACAAAATTCCTCGTTTCTGACAGCATCAATTTTCGGATATTTCGACTTGGGCAATTTACCTGATCGGCTGATGGAAGAAATGGCTTTATCGTACACGGGTACACACATCACTAACCATTGTATATTTATACATAATATGGAAAAGTAAATTAGAGACGATGAAAATGAAGATACGTTAGAGATTGATGTAGTAACAAAATAGCATCTAGTGGTTAGAAAAGAAAATTAAGGATAATGGAGCAGAGTGTAAAACAGCATAAAGTATTTGATGTGAGATAGGATTCAGCTGGTGCTGGGTATTAATGCGGTAAGAAGGACAAGAGAACGAATATCGGGTAGGAGAGGTTGAAAGAAGAGTTCGGCGAATGTTGAAGGTGGATTCTATCAGATTTTGAACTGAGGATAAGGTGTGCGACTTTTTTATCACTTCTGATAATTGCTAAAAACTAACGTAGGACGTATAGCCTGTGTTGTACTTCAGGCTGAACTATTATGTTAATATGTTAATATTAGCTTTGGTCTATTTTCTATAGTCTATTCGTGTGACCGTGTCCAAGGATATTTGGAACAAGAGAACTTCACTACGCGTGAGACGCTGTTGCACAGAATAAAATGAATTTTAGACAAAACAAATTTAACGGATTTTGGAATAATAAATCCGTTAAAGCTATGGTAGAAGAATCGGAATCGGATCTACAGAAGATGCATTCAGTCCTAATTGATAGTGATGGGTCCGGTGAGTCATCATCGGTTATTACCAATATCGAAATGAGTGAGGTAAGACAGATTCCGCATTATAATTAACTTTCTCTTGGAACTTTCTTTTTGTTGGACATGAAGTTTCATTTTTCCACATTTGAAATATGAGTTTTGGAAACTTTGGAAATTTACTGTCGACAATGTCTCGATTGCCGAATTTTGCATCGAATAGCTTATTTCAAAATGAAACATAGGAAATGATAAACTAAATAAACGTTCATAAATCCCGCAATTATTCCATAAGAATCCTCGTATTTTCAGGATACAGTAACAGTAGACTGTATCTTTAGAAAGGAATATTTGTTGTTTTCCAGGAAATAGCGTCGGGAAGTAGTGATGATGAATGTCCGGTGCTGATTAACGAAAAGGCTTTGCAGGAATCGATTGGGGTAAGAGACAGGGTAGACGTAATGCGACATATTTTTTTCACGGCTTCTTTGCTTTTGTTCTTTACATATCTTTTGTTTTTATCTGTTGTAAAAGCATAGTTGAGTATTGGCCAAACTAACCTAACTGTCTGATGGTTAAGTTAGTTTGTTAATAATTAATTAATTGTTTAGAAAATTGTGAGTACGGTTGTTATAGGAAGGAGGAGAAATGCAATAAATTATCAGAGATGTGGCGATTTGCTTAAGATTTAGTTTTATGGTACGTGCGTCTTCAAATTTCATTGTTTTCAGAGTGAAAATATGGATTTCAAGAACGAGTTCGGACCATCAAGAACTTCAGAGAATGAATGCTGGAAAGGGCGAAATCCTTTACAGAAATTTTCGATTTTGATTGGCAGCAATAAATTAACATTTAAAGTTACCGATGCTCCTAAGATGCGTGTGGGTTAGTATCGTATTACTTTATATCGTATTACTTCTTTTATATTTTATATCGTATTACTTTTATATCGTATTACTTCTTTTCTTGCAAAAAAGTTTAAGTTCTCAATGTTAGTCAAGTATGACATAATGCCCATGAAACAAAAAATTATAGCTTTTGTGATTTCAAATCATTTTGGCGTATGAGTTCAGTTAGTCAGTTTATACATTAAACGATTTTGCAGCTGATGATTTGATATGTCAGAAAAATGAGGGTGAACTAGATGACGCTTTTCGTGACTATGCGCTGTGGAGTGATCACGAAATTGGTCTCGATAGGCCTATTTACCGATGTAAAATATGTGATCGCGCCTACGCTCACAAACGACCTTTGTTGGCTCATGAAAAGACTCATATCAGTGAGTATTAGTGTTTTTGTATGATTTTATTTACAAAAAGAAAATTAGGTGAGCGTATTCTTGTGGTTGATCTGGAATTTAATTTATTTCTAAAGTGATTGCTGAGCTATTTACCTGGATTCGTGTCTAATGAAAAATAAAAGCAACCATCTAGAAAAGCCTATATTGTATTAAAAACGACATTTACAGTTTGCTTACACAAACTGTAATTAGGTTAAATAACAATTGATTCTATGGTATACTTTACTATTGCTTGTATAATTTTTCTTTGTCATGATAGTTAGTACTTTACAGCTGGACGACCTTATCAATGCCCGATATGTACAAAACGTTTCGCTCGTCAGGTGAACTTCAATATACATATGAAACTTCATGCGAGTGGCCGTCGTTATTTTTGCTCTTTATGCGGCAAATGGTTCAGAACGCAGTCATTAATGTCTGAACATCAGGTAAAAGAATAATGTTGCGATTCAAAAAATTACAATGGTTATATAGCAGCAAACATTTTCCGCCTTTTTCTGTCACGTATATTATTTCATATCTGAGATCTGGAATGTGATACATTTAAATTGATATCAATGTTGAAAGTGGACAGTAAGCTCCTGTAAGTGAAGTTTTTAGACTCTTCAATTTGATAATATAAAGATGTTGAGTCAAATTTTAATGAGTTAATTTTAAGGTTTTAAGGAAAGGGAGCAGACATTCGCTTGTCTTTTGGCCAAGGCGATATCTTTCTTGAGTCTTAGAGATCTGCAGTAAATGAGAAAAACATTACACCGCCATTTTCTTCATTTATTGGATCAAATTTCAGCAAAAGTGTTTTGCTTTGATGAATGGTCTGTCGGTGCCAACTGATCGTCCATTAAGATATCGTTGTTATTATTGTGATAAAATGTTCCATCATCGAAGGGATAAGGTGATTGTTATTTCTTGAATACACCTTATTTGTTAATGTATATAAAAGATAATAAACTAAAGTTATTTGGAATTCCTTTAAAATGCTTAGGTTGAGAAATGGGGAATGAGCAATTCTACTTTTTAGCTAATTCGACCCAAAATTATATATTTTAAGCAAAGTTGTTGTTTTCCTATTTGTATAAAAAGGTGATTCCTTAAGATCATATAAAGCTGTGTGTTCTATATAATCGGAAGTGTTAATTTACGGATTTCTGTTTACAGTGCGTGTTTTAAACAAACTTAGAAATCAATCAGTTTTAATTGTAATACGTAAGATAGCCGAAGCTGGCCAAAGTGGTTAGTCTACCATGATCGTTAGAAATTTGAAATGTGTTCAATTCCTGTCGAAAGTTTATAGAACATTCATGAAAGGACGCATACCGGTGAGCGACCGTACACATGTGGGTATTGTAGCAAGGGCTTCACGCAATCGCAAGCTCTTACAATCCATATAAGATCACATACAGGTGAAAGACCGTTTAGTTGTTCGATATGCGGCAAGGAATTTCGGGATAGGTAAGTTCCTTCTTCTTGTCAAGTGCAGCTATGATGAAAGGATTAAAAAATGCTGTTATAATGAGACTGAATGCAGATGTTGTAAATTCTGTTCTAAACTGAGCTGCACATTGGATTTTTTCGTAAAAGTGTGTAAATTTTTTCGTAAAAGTAATATTGGAAAAATGGAGATAGCAGACTTGATCAGATTCTGAGTTTCTACTTTGAGGTTGTCGCAAATTTCTGGAATATTTTTTTGATTTCTATATTGGATTTCTTTCCAGCATGATAAAAGTTTCATGATATTTTTTTCGCTCGAGTTTTTGATTTTTGGAGCCTATATGAGCTATTAGAGATCAGTGCATTTTATGATGCTAAATATTATCCTAATTTTTCTGTGGAGTTTTTTTCTGTGAATTTTTCTGTAAACTTTCGACTCAGAAATTTTTCAGCTCAGCCTTAAGGAAGCACGAATTTACCAAACATATCAATGAAAGCCTTCCCAATGATGACTGTAATGATTCATCGAACGAAATAACTTTAGTGACAACACCGCATGTGAATTAGTAGTGATTTATCGTCCGATTTCTGTATATTTCCTTGTATTTTCCTTTGTTTAAATTCTTATAATTTCGAGCTTTTTGAATGGGATATAATAGTAAGATGGGAATAGAAGCGTAACCATTTGCCCAATACATATTAATTTTAATTATTTGCTTTTTCGTGTCGTCATTTTTGTTTATGACACAGTAAGATATAAAATATGACATTCTTTTGAATATTGAATGTTAATTCTTATTGGCATCTTTCACTTCGTTCGCAACATTTATTTGATCTAGGATTTGCACGTTATATGGTAACAGGTTGTAACGAAGAATTATAAGTGAATCATTAAATAAAATTATAATAGTCATTTGAAACGGGATTAAATAGATGTGTTATGACTACAAATAGGCTTATCGGTGTTCAACATAGTTCTACTTTTTTGTTTTGATTTCATCAATGCTTGCTTCAAGTGAATTATTTATTTTTATTAGTAATAGTATTAGCAATAATTTTGATAGAAGTATATATATATACATATATCGCACAATATAAGTATATTCTTACATGCAAAGACTGATATTTCAGTATTTTATACTTTAACTATGTTAGAGTTTTTTAACTTTAACATATACTTATAAATACAAATCAAAATATCAGTTAAGCATGCTGTTGAGTTACTCTGTGATAATTTTTTTGGAGCTAATTTTATCCTTGGTAAGCGCATTTGTTATTTAGATAGGTGATCTATATTTATCTCTTTTGTGAACATATTATATTCTGAAATCTTTGTCTTCATCTAGTGCTTATTTATATGGCCTGAGTTCAACTGTTTATACATATTCTATTTTATATTTCTTAATGTTTTGAATTTTTTACTGAATGCAGAAGGAACGTTTTTAATTTTTCATCATTTTCAATCTTTTGTTTATATCTTATTTATAATTAATTATTTTGCATCCAAGAAGGTGTTTTCTGGTTTCTTTTATTTTGGTGATACTTCAGTTAAAGTTCTTGTTTTTGTCAGATAAAATTAAAAAATCTTCTAGTCATCAATTTGGAGGGTTTTGTGCTAAACTCGTTTCCTGTTCTGATATAAATTAGTAAATTAGTACAATCAAACATCAAACATCTGGCAGAGAAACGTTTGACGTGCAGATGAAGGGATATATTTAGTGATATTGCATTTTAGAGTTAGATGGTTTGTTAGCATCAAATGAACTCAACTTCTCACCGCATTAATTCATGTGTTTGATCTCTAATTATATATTCAATGGATAAGTGAAGTATTCATGTATTTTTTATTTACACTTGGTGATCGTCAAGATATCTCGGTGTAATGGATCTCTCCATTCTTTTTGTCCATAATCCTAGAATTTGATAATTAAAGAATCTTTATAATGTGAATTAATTTTTTGGTTATTTGATTTCTTTTGTCTATCAACAGCATATTTAATCGAAAGTTAATAATTAAAGGAAAAAAATAATATTATTTTGAATGAATTATAAGAGATCATGTATCAACATATAATTTCACCTTAATAAAGAAAACGAGATTTTCATCAAAACTGGAAATTTTTGAGGATAAATAGAAAATATTTTCATTAGTTTTCCATTGTCTACATCACGATGAAAATTTGATGCAGAACGGAAGAAAGTGAGAGGTGATCAGTTCTTATCATTGTTATTCAATTCGACAGCGTTAAATTGCTGGCAATAATTTCAACAATAATGAAACCTCTACTTATGGTACATAATATTTGTGATTGGTGTTGCATAACAAAATCACCAATTATTGGACGTAAATTATGTCCAAAATGTGGCATACAAATTACTGATAATACTTTGCGATGTATTTTCCTACCAAGTCCATTCCTTTCGACAACTACGAATTATTGTTGTATAGTGTTGAAACCATCGAGAAATTCATTCAACAAGTTAGTTTTGAATTTTCTTCTTTTTTTCAAACAAGAATATTACTGCTTAGATGTTAACAAGAATATTACTGCTTAGATGATATCCTGATATGATGTTTAAGAATGCTATCATCCATTTTTAGTAATTTTCTTCATCCTATCATTTTATTAATTAGATTAGGAATTTCATTCTCTATTTTTAAATTTTATAAGTTATAAAAACAATGAATATTGTTAGATTTATAGTTCTTTTATTTGTGTGTGTGTTTTTTTTAACAAATTTATTCTTATATTAATTATTTGAGATGTTGAAATATTCCATTTTTTTTGCGATCATTTCAATTTTTGTTTGCTTATAATTTTTTTAGCTTAAATTTATTTTTGAAAATTTCACAGATATAAACTGGGCGATGATCTTCATATTGGTTTATCAAATTCAAAAGGTTTTGTATTTTCGTATACTGCTGATGGTATAATAGTTGAATCATCGTGGGATAATTGTCTCTGTATATATCGGTTCAATGATAACGAAATGTGTGATAAAAGGATGAAAATATTTGTCAAGAAATATTATAATCAATTTAGTCGCCAAGTTTGTTTTATTATTCAACTTAGAAGAATTACTATCATTCATTTATTTTTTTCAAAATATCGCAACTTTAAATAGAATGTTATGAAAGATATTTCTCTTTTTATTGAAGTTCTAAGTGTTAGTGAAATGTTAGCGATTTTATTGAAATGAGGTTGACAATGGTGACAATGTCGGAGTATATGGTTATAGAAACTTTAAGGAAGACAGGACAGAGTAGGTTAGAATGGGTTAAAATTATAAATTATCATTAAGAGAGAATGTTAAAATTAAAATTGAGATATTAAGATAGGCTAAAATTAAGATAGAATGGGCTAAAACTAGACAGAACCATCAGACCGTTTATATACAACTATATTATGCATATGTAATTGCGGTTCTGGTTTTGGTGCTATCGAAAGATATACTATATTGAAAAAATTAATTAACAACTATTGAATGTGATTTCTTTGCAGCATTATGATAAAAGGAATTGGAACTGTTACGATTTTGTTGTGGAATTTTTACTTGATATTGGTTTATTGAAACGTACGACGTATGTGAAAGAACAGTTCGTCACAGAACGCGTTTGTAAAGCGTTACAGAGAGTACTTCGTTATTACAGTCTTTTGAATAGATTGTCACAATGTAAAGTTAATTATCTTGCATTATTCTAACTTTGGACTTTGCTAGTTTTTCTAGAAGTGTAAAAAGATTTAAATTATTTTACTACCGTAACCGAAATTTTTGCTTTAACTCATATAAATATATACTAAAAGGATGAATTACCTTATACAAACGCGCGTAGGTGTGTGTGGATATGTGTGTATCGCATATGTATCGTTATAGCAATAATGATTATATATATTGTAATTAATTTAATTAAACTGTATGAATGTAAGAAGCTCTGTGTCTATTATATATTATATACGTAGTATAAATGTATCATGTTGTAACCTATTCCAGTATTGCTCAAAATTGCAATGGAATGGAATAAGGCCATGCACAGGCCGATTTGCTCTACTTTTACTTGAATTTCAATTCGAAATGATTACTGCACCTTTAGGCTCTGGCATCGATTTGATAGGCTATTAACTCACCGCAGGGAACGAGTTTTCACTGCGTCACTCTTCTCTTACGTGATTTTGGGCGACGTTATGTTAAGTCTGGCGCTATATCGTAAACGTACTTAGAACATAGGCGATGTAGCATGTCGTTTCTTTTAAATGCATTTTTAAAAATTAAGAGACAATTTTTGGTACAGTAGGTTGCAGCTAAATTATGGCAGAAAGTCTGGAAGGAAGCAGAGATATGGATTGTGACAGAAGAATGGATTCATTGGGTTATTCCAGGGAACAGGTTTCTCTTTCCGGATTGTTTATTTTTCGGCATGTGATGTCCTTATCTGAAGTGTCTCATCTTAAATTTGAAATTTATGGGTCCTTATATTACCGAGTTTCACTCGTTCCTATCCATTGTTTTTTTTGCCCATAAAATGAGTTGGTGATATGTCTAACGTGAATAACCAATATCTTTGCAGTTCGACAGATTTATTCATGATTACCGTGAATCAGCCGAACCTTCTACCTATGACTCGCATGAAAGTGATACTGCGATAGATGCTGCACTAAAGAAAGATTTCATTAATGTAGAAAGGAGACTAACGAAAACCTTCTATGTCATCAAAAAGTATGTTTAGACTATAATTTATTGCTATTGTTTTCATGTGAATGTTGCGTTACGAAAGCATGCGAATATCAGAGCATCATGTATTTGTTTGATTTGAATAATAAGGTACAGCATTAATTGAAAAATGTAATTTGAATGAGAGTGTACATATTATAGTACGATGTGGCTGGATAAACCAATACTGGGAACCTTTTTTTAGAGAGTAATGGTAAGAATAAGCTTGGTAATAGAATTTATGAAAGTAAATAAGAACTCCACAGCTAACTATATCATTTTCTCAAATTGTTTTTCTTTAATTGCGAAGGAAATTGATCATTTTTAGGTTACCCAAAGCAGAGACTTCAAATGGATTGTGCTTGCGTATCGAATCCATGCTGGAGATTTTTAAAACGGTAAGATTGTAGGTGGTATCTTTGAATAAAATATGCAGAAAACTGGAAATTTATCATTAGTCAATCATCGTTCTTTTTACTCACGACATCTATGGTAGGCCTGATCGTAGGTAGAAATTAGAACTCATAGTGGAAATTTTCAGACTAGCGATAATCATAGCTATGTATATGGTTTGTTTTTAGTTAAAGATCGTAAAAGAGGATAATAAAGAAGAGTTCAGTTTGCATAACGTACCTTTACCGGATTATGATGCTGCCGATATCGAATTATTACTTGGTAAAGATTTTGCATCGACACAAATAACGCATAATAATGGTTTGTCAAAATTCAAAGAGAAACTGCGGAAACAAATTATCGGCAATATCCAAATGGCCAAAATTCTATTGGAGGAATGTGATGAAACTGTGTCTTTATACCGAGAGAAAGGTGGCTGTTTTGAACGGAATTCTTATGAACCTTGCCGAAAATCAGTCAGAGATTAAATGAAAGATTTTTAATCGCAATTTTTTTGTGAATGTAGGGTTAATGAGTGTTTTTTCTCTAGTTCTTCAAAATATGCGACAGTAACGGATGTCGTGGATTTTTTGCTCGAATTATAACGGGAAATCAGGGCATATCTTCCATCAGACGAATTCATTCATCACTCATATTTTCTCGTAAGTTCTTATTTTCTCAGTAGCCACCTGTTTTATTCATGGTATTTAGATCAGTTCTGTCGAGGATTTATTTCAAAAAAAAGTTATTTTTTAGAAAAATTAAATATTTCCTTAACATTCAAAAATTCACATTCGCATAAACTTAAGATAAATTGGAAGGATTGGTAGTTCTTCATATTGTAGTGCTTTATATCGTTTATTTAGTCTCTGCACCTTTTGTTGTATTAAAATGACAAGTTATTCCTTTTCTAGGTTGGCCACCAACCGGAGCAACAACTTGGAGAGCGCATTTGATGGAATTTCGAATAAAATCTTGTATAATAGTGTATTTCCTGACATAAATATATAATTTTTCGTTTTAGAATAAACAGAAATATTCATACTGTTAAACAATGTATATGATATCATCAGCAAGTATAAATTAGTTCTTATCACCGAAGAGGTTGTGAAAGTTCTTCGAAACATTCACATTCAGTTGTTCCATTTGGAGCTTTCCAAGAAGCATACACATAACAATAGCCACCTTCCAGACCCTTTAAAATCAACGTGGTTTTTAGTTATACCGAAAAAGACACTAATTACAATTTATGATACAATTGATAAGATTAGCGCAGACAATAGTTTTATATTTGGGATTGATACTACGAACTTCCAATAAGGGAGTATGATGTTTTTTTCAAAACTATTCGATATAAATTACAGATATTCGAAACATCACAAGAATTGTTGAGAAGATGTCATAGGACTGTGATTTACGACATTATCTACTTCATTTTATGCACTTTAATATAGTATTAATTTGAATAAGGTTTGACTCATTGCTTACAATTACTTCATTTATTTTGGAGGTAAAATGAGATTTTGAAAAGAATAAGGAAGAAAATAGGTTGATCAACAAAACGAAGGTATAAATGTTATCATATATAATTTACCATTCACTTTACAGTGTATGAAATGTAGGTTAATTAATGACTACCTTAATTTTATTCGAAGTTTTACTCTTGTTCAATTTCAAGGTGAGAAATTCTCTTTATCAATTAGAAGAGAGAGAAATTTTTGGACATAACGGTGTTGTTTGATTCGTGTAGCTCTCTCTCTCTCTCCTTCTCTGTTTGTCTGCTCATTTTTTCATCTATGATAATTTTCTCTAAAATCGAAATCATGTGTTTATCATTCGAATGCATGCCATTTCTATTATTACTAATTTTGTTGTCAACTACAAAGTTTTTATTATCTTTTTTAATTAAATTAAAATTTATTACAAGGACAGTGTTGAATGATAAAGGTAAGTAAATAAGGTATACTGGCAAGATAAGAAAAGATTGAGAAGCTAATAAAAATATATTTAAAAATTTTCAAAAAATTTGTGTGAAAATTTTTGTCATGGCCGGAGAATAGGTAGAAAACCTTTGTCATAGCTGGAATAGGTAAAATGTTCAAAAACTTTTCGCTAAACTTTTAAGAAAAATTAATAAATTAAAATTTAAGAAAAAAATAAATAAATTAAAATCAATAAATTGAATGAGATATATATTGGCATTTGTTTTGAAGTAAAACATTGAAATTTCATCATTTATTCAACACACTTATCAATATTAAAGTTAAATTTTCTCAAATACTTCTTTACTTCCCGAGAGTTCCTGAAGAAGATAAATAGGAAATATAGCGCTAAAATTATTTGTAAATTTCGTAACGATAGAGAATAGAAGTGATGTATGTAAATGATAAAGGAGTAAAGATGAATCTTTTTATTATAATATTGCGCTAGCTAGAATTAGTGATTGGTGTAATGATAGATGAAATGATGATATTATAAATAGAATAGCTTTTCAGGAAGTCTCTGAAATGATGATATAGAAATAAGATAGCTTCTTAGGAAGTTCCTGAAATAATGATATAGAAATAGGATAGCTTCTTAGGAAGTTCCTGAAATGATGATATAGAAATAGGATAGCTTCTTAGAAAGTTCCTGAAATGATGATATAGAAATAGGATAGCTTTTCAGGAAGTCTCTGAAATGATGATATAGAAATAGGACAGCCTTTCAGGAAGTCTCTGAAATGATGATATAGAAATAGGATAGCTTTTCAGGAAGTTCCTGAAATGATGATATAGAAATAGGATAGCTTTTCAGGAAGTTCCTGAAATGATGATATAGAAATAGGATAGCTTTTCAGGAAGTTCCTGATGATATAGAAGATAGAAGTAGGATTGCTTTTCGAGAGAGCAAGAAAAACGATAAACTTTCCGATTAGCGCCTATCATTTTTATTTCAGTCTTAATTTTAGTTTTAAAATTTTAATCAATATTGCTATCAATTTTGATTAAATTTGAAAATCAAAGTAAAAATTGATCTTTGATAGAGTGAAATTAAATAAAATCAAACCTATTAGTATTCGTTTCATTTATTAATTATTATTCCTTTTCATTGTACCTATCGGTAACGTTAATTTTTCCTTTATTATCTATTAATTTTTGAATTCAAATTTTGTATGGCATAAAAGGGTAATCTACAAAATGCATTATATAATTTCATATTTTGATATAATAAGCGATAAATATGAAGAAACGAAGCATGTTAAATTCAGTTACATTGGGTTTAAAAATTACTGAGGAATATAATTTAAATTTAAAATTTGAATTTAAAGTTACTGATGATCTTTGCATTCTGAAGTACTGCTCCTATCTAATTAAACCGTATGGAGAATGTGATAGATTACAATGATTATTAAGACGATCATTATAATTATAATGATAAGTAGTTGCATTCTGAAGTACTGCTCCTACTTTTCTATCTAATTAAATAGTATGGGGAATGTGATAGATTACAATGATTATTAAGACGATCATTATAATGATAAGTACTTGCATTCTGAAGTACTGCTCCTACTTTTCTATCCAATTAAACCGTATGGAGAATGTGATAGATTACAATGATTATTAAGACGATCATTATAATATCATTATCATTATAATCATTATGACAATTATAATCACTATAATTATGATAATTGTTAAGATGATTATAATGATTTTGTAAGATAGATATAGAAATAAAATCTTAAAAAATTAAGTAGACTTTAAGGATAAACATATTTTATTCGAAAATTCATATTTATTATTTATGAAATATGAAAAGCAATGATACTGTATGAAATTTAAATAAATAAATTTAAATAAGTTATTAAAATTTAAATAATTAAATTTGAAACTTTCCATTATATTAATATACTATATGATACTAACAATTTTTCAAATATTTTTAATTTATATAAAAATTTGAATTTTTATAAAATTTTATAAACAAAGAAAAAAAAGACAGAGATAGAGAGAGAGAGAGAGAGAGAGAGAGGGAGAGATTTTACACTAACCTTTTTAGTGCAATATTCTTTGCACATTTGTTGCATCTCTTTACATAAACTACCATCAAGTGGTACTTTATATTGATAACATGTACACGTGAAATCACGTCCATTCCACGTAGAACAATGTCCATACCAATATGAATCCTGTTTACATAGTTCATCGCATGCTTGATGATCAGGTAAATTACATCCTATCCTGAATTTTATATAAATTTTGCATTAGAAGAAAATTTCGTAATTCATTTCTTATTTACTCTTTTCATTCTTCAAACTTTGTATGATAGCAATAATCATTCATTTAATCAATTATCAGTTATCAGTTATCAGTTATCAGTTGTTGCTATTATATAACTATTGAAATCATTCATTCTCTCAATTCTTCTCTTTCACTTCCTTTTCATTCTTTAATTAATATGATCGAAATATTACAAATTTCAAATATTTTACTTATAGATTTTAAATTTATAAAAAACGACAAATTTCTGATTTCATAAATCAAATGCTATTTCTTATATTAATATAGCTGAATGGAATTAAAAAGACTGTAATTTATGAAATTATTAAATGATGATATTAAATCGACAAAAATTAGAAACCACTAATTTTAGTAGAACTGAATGTGCTAATTAATTTTATAGGTATTATAACTGAATGTGCTAATTAATTTATTGTTATAGTGTTAATAGGTGTAATTTAATAGATAAAGGTGTTAATTAGATAGGAGAATATCTTAATAAGAATGATCAATGAAAGAAATCAATCATCTAATTAATATTTCATTCCTCTATTTTTACTCCTCCCTATTACCTGTACTAAATTAATAATTAAAACATTATTTGCTAATTAATGCTAATTATTCATGGTTAATGTAATTAATGCTAATTAACGTAATGCGATTAACGTAATTACTGCTAATTATTCTAATACATTGGTTGCTTTTGTTAATCCTTAAAAATCTAATCACATCTATGAATTTATAGCAAAAATTGTACATCATATCGTATTAGAAAAAATTCAAATTTTCCGATTGCATTTAAATTGAATGGAAAATTTCTTAATGACAAATTTAGGAAACTTAAATTTAAAGGAGAAAAAGATGATAATTTATCATTAATTTTCATGTATTATTAAATTTAATTAATATTTTTCATATATTATTAACAAATTAAATTAGAAGTGAAAAAAATGAAAAGACAATACCCTTGCTCTGTGATATTTTTGCCGTTGATAAGATTGATAATACAATAAATGATAAGGATGATTTGAAAATTGATCAAAATTTTGAAGCAATAGATACTATTACTATTACTACTACCACTACTACACCATTTACCACAATGATTCAAAACGCTGCAACTCGTCGTCGGGTTGTTCAATGACATTTGATATGAATCCGACCAAATAAGCAAGCCTTCAACAATCAGCGATCGTTTACCTCTTTGATACTCCAATTTTTACCAACCTTCCATCCTCTTCCGTTACCGCCTAAACCATTCATTTTTCCTTTTTCCGCTACGTTTGAACCACCCATTTCTCCTTTTACCGATTCCGCCTAAATCATTCATTTTTCGCTCGTATCATTCCGCTCTAAGATACCCAATAATTTTCACTCACCCTATTACGCCTAAATCAGATTGAAACGTTATTTTACTCTCTGTGATTTCTTAAATTTTTCCTTTTCTCCACCCCCTTTTTTTTTAACCTTTTTGGTAATGTTGGAAAATAATGTTGGAACATAAGAGGAAGGAACGAATTTTAATGGTTGTCATTAATTTCTTACGAAATTTTCAAACGATACCATTTGAGCATTATTTGAAATTTAACACTTTGAATAAGTTATTGATGACATTCATTGAAACGATTAATGAGACTAATTCTGTTTTTTGGCACAAATAGTTAACTTTACTGATATTTCTATCGTTATTTATTACAAATATTGGAATTGATTTATCACGATATCATTTATCAACATAATATCGATATAAATAACAATTAATATCTAAACAAATAACAATTGGTAGCAATTGTTGCAGTAATATGATATATCTAGCAATAACAACAATTATTATTATTTGCGATACCAATAATTTGAACTGATACGAAGAAGAAAACTATTATACATCAAATAGTATACGTAATAAATAAATTTACCTTACATTTAAAATTAAATGATATTATAAATTTGTTATTTATAATTTGCTGTTGATAATCATTTACTAATTTATAATTTATAATGATTTACTGATGATAATAATTTACTAATGCTAATGATAATAATTATTAAGAAGAATTTTTTTTTAACTGTTAAGGTTAATTTTATTTTATTCCTTATTTTATATAAAATTTCTTCGTCAAAATTTTTCTATTTATTGTTGTTTAATGTATATTATTAGTGTAATTAATAATGATAATATTATGTATATTAAAATTATTATTGTATTATAAAACAATCTTATGTATATATGTTTGCCATATGTGATATATGTAATACTTGATTGTTCTTATTTTATTTCTTGATATCGAATAATATCGTCGCGGTTTTTCTTCAATGTTGAAAATGGAATGATTTTTACATCATTTATATCTTTTCCGATAATTCCTAACTTTTTTTCCTTCTTAACATAAAATGAAGAAAAAATGATATTGTTATAATTTTTAATTGATATTTAACTAGCAAGAATGCTATCTATAGATGAATTAAACTTGCTATCTATAATTTACTGATAACTGGTAATGATAATAAATAATAATTAGAATTTTCTATCATTTCCCAACAATTATTAAATTGTATGTTTTTCTTTTTGTCGTAAGCTTATTGCGTTATAATATCAAATATATAGTTTTATACGTCTTCATAATCTCTATTAAAAATTCTAATATAGATAGTTTCTGAATAATCACAATGATAATTATTTGATAATAACTTTTTGTTTATTCGCATACTCTTTAATCAGAATATTAATGAAAATAGTGAATTAAAACAATTTCAATTTGAAGATGTTATTATCAACAATTATCATTATCATTATTCAATTATTCATATTCATATCATTTATCATTATGACTATTTAATTGTTCATATAGTAAAATGATTTTAATTCGAAGGAAATTAATCGACGAATTATTCAATTATTCATATTCATATCATTATTATCGTTATCATTCAAATATTCACATTAAATATTATCAACGACTATCATTATCATTATTCAATTATTCATATTCATATCAATTATCATTATAATTATTCAATTATTCACATTATAAAATGATATTAATTCTGGTGGAATTAATAATTAATAAATTTATTATATCTAAAGCGATTTCAATTCTAACTATTATACGATTTCAATTCTAATTATTCTACATTCTCATTTTTGACAATATATTTTTAGTAAATCTATAAAATTAATACATTACACGCCTATTAATTATAATAATATAAATTTTATCATTATCATTATTCAATTATTCATATAGTAAAATCATTTTAATTCTAAGAAAATTAATCGATGAATAAATTTTATTTGACCTAAAACGATTTCAATTCTAATTTTTCTATATTCTCATTTTTGAAAATATATTTTTAGTAAATCTATAAAATTAATACATTATACGGCTGCCGATTATAATAATATAATATATTATATATGACAACGAATCATTCCAATAATGATTATAAATTATAATAATATAATATATTATATATGACAACGAATCATTCCAATAATGATTATAAATTATAATAGTCTTTTTACCAAAGCAATAATGGAACGATAACTCAAAATTCGGTCCCATTTTAAAATTATTCGTTAACTGATGCAATCAGGAGAAAACGATATTGATCGACTTTAGGATAAGCTCTACTGATTAAAG